GTTTACTGGGCTGTTTAAAAATTTCCTAACTATTGAACACGTATCCAATATAGTGGATTTCTGTAGTTCAATGTAGCTAAATTTCCTTAATTGCAGTTGATGTAATGACGAATGCAATGTTTTTGGGATCACTCCAGTGGATGATAAAATAATAGGGATAATTACAACGGAAGTTTGGTGCCACATGTCTTTAATTTCTTCTGACAGAGGTAAGTATTTTTGTATTTTCTCGTTGTGTTTTTGTTTCAGGTTTTCAGTATTTGGGATGGATATATCTAAGAGGTAAGTTGTTTTTAGATTCTTATATATAAGTGTTATATCAGGTCTATTAGAAATTATTGATTTGTCGGTGATAATATCACGGTTCCAGTACAGCTTAGTGTCTTCATTTTCAAGAACTGCTGTAGGTGTATATTTATAATATGGTGTTTTGGTTGTTATAAGTTTGTTTTTGAGTGCAAGTTCCTGATGAATTAATTTTGCAACGTTGTCATGCCTCTGTACGTACTCTTTATTAGCCAATACGGGACAACCTCCTGTTATATGATTTATTGTTTCTGACCAATTATTACATAATCTACATTTATCACTCTGAACAGTATTATCTTTAATTATATATTTTGCATAGTTACGTGTGTTTATTATCTGATCTTGTATAGCGATCATGAAACCTTCTGTCTCTGGGTATATATTTCCTCGTGTGAGCCATGTATTCGATGCATCCTTATCAATATGGGGTTGATCTAGCTGACAGGGATATTTTCCATGGAGTTGTTTCCTTTTCCAGTTTTCTATTTTCTGTTCTGGTGTTATGATTTTATCTAAGGGTTTAAACTGATCGTTATTAAGTTGTAGTGCAGTTCCAGATGTCGACATAGATATGATTGCCTTATGCAACTTACTGGTGTTGGAATGTTGTTGGAAGTATGTACGTAGATTTTCAACTTGGGAGTAATGTAAATTTTTGATGTCTATAATCCCTCGGCCACCCATTTTTCGGTTTAATGTAAAACGTTCGACCGAAGAGTGTATATGATGTTGGTTATGTTTACGTGATACAGATCTTGTAATTGTGTTAATAGCATCAAGATCCATGTCTGTCCAATTAATTATACCAAATGAATAGGTAAGTACTGGTATTGCATAAGTATTTATGGCCTTTGTTTTATTTCTGGCTGAGAGAAGAGTTCTAAATATTTCGCAGAGACGTTGCTTATATTTCAATATTAAATCAGATTTTACTTGTGTGTGATCTATAGTAGTATGTTGTACATAGCCCAGATATTTATACGTCTCTTTATAATTCATACTGTCTATTATTTCCTGTAGTGACTGTACATAATGTGGTTGTGTCTGTTTATAGTGTCCTTTAACAATTGAATTTATTTTGCATTTTTCAGTACCAAACCTCATTTTAATATCCGTACTAAATAATTCTGTTAATTTGAGAAGATAATCTAATTGTTGTCTATTGGTTGCATATAGTTTTATGTCATCCATATATAATAAATGCGTGATTTTAGTTTTTATTTCCCGGCTTATAGTATATCCATATCCTGTGTTATTTAATATCCTAGATAAGGGATTTATTGCGAGGCAAAACCAGAGTGGGCTCAACGAGTCACCCTGAAAAATACCTCGAGCTATTTTAATTGGAGTAGATTTAATAGTTGAATTTTTTGTAGCTATTTGCAAAATGGTGTTCCATGTGGTCATTGTATATTTCAAAAAGTTTATTATTTGGTCATCAATTTTGTATAATTTTAATATGTATATAAGCCAGGAATGTGGGACACTATCATAGGCCTTCTGGTAATCAATATAAGCGTAGTGTAGATTTCTATGTTTTTGTTTTACTTGAAAATGGATTTCGGTGTCAATTATCAGTTGTTCTTTACAGCCTCTTGAACCTTTACAGGAACCCTTCTGTTCCTCGTGTATAATATTGTTGTGTGTTATATGCCGTCCTATTTTATGTGCGATAATAGATGTTAACAATTTATAGATCGTAGCTAAACATGTAATTGGTCTGTATTTCGACGGATTTAAATGATCTGTATCTTTCGGTTTAAGATATGTTATACCTTGCGTGAGAAACAATGGTGTATTTTCCGGTTCTTTAATTAATCTATCGAATATATTAGCAAGAGTTTGGTGTGTAGATGGTAAGTATTTTAACCAATAATTATGTACTTTATCTGGGCCTGGTGCTTTCCAGTTTAAGGTTCTGTCAATAGCAAGTTTAACATCTTCCAGATTAATCGTAACATTAGGCATTGGTTCCAAGCCTCCTACTTCATTTTCCTCTATAGACATCCAGGGTGTATGTTCATTATGTTGTTATTATTATTATTATTATTATTATTATTATTATTATTATTATTATTACACATGTTACAGTGGTACAGAACTCAATAACATCCATTAATGTACCATTAGAATATACAGATGAAAAAAATGCAGTTGCAAATGATACAATTGAAGAAAATGATGATGAACATACGGTTACTATAAATTAAACCAATACATTGAAAAATGACGAGTATCTGGCCAGCAAAAGTAATTAATACTCCAAAAGATTTGATTGTAATTATGACAAATGGAATCAGTGCAATAAATGATAATTAAATTAATTATCTTAACAATAATAGTGAAAAATATAATAAATTTTCTTTTTTACATATACATTTAAAGTTTGACATTAATTGACAAGGTTCTGTTATAATATTTATTAACTTATTTTTATTATATCTATACTAATGACTAAACAATGTTTTTTTTAACTCATCATGGTTTTTCTGCCTTTATCTAATAATCGCTTAGGTTGGTTAATGTAGGTAATGCTATGCCTATACCTACAGATAATGAATAATTCAAAAAAAGCGGACGACACAAATATATCCATATATGTATGTCACCACATGAATACAAATATCGTTCGTTTACTAATAATAGACTACTAATGCACATACAATGTTTTCCTAGGCATAAAAAGTGGGAAATTTGTCCGATAAAAGCGACCAATTGTGTTGCGTCAAAGATGTGATCTTAGCAATTCAATGATGAGAGCGGGGCTTATGAATATAAGATGTGTAATCTAAATATATATAACTCAAAGGTGACTGACATAGTGATCTATCAACGCACAGCCCAAACCACTGGACGGATCGGGCTGAAATTTGGCATGCAGGTAGGTGTTATGACGTAGGCATCTGTTAAGAAAGAATTTTGATTAATTCTACCCCAAGTGGATAAAATAGGGGATGAAAGTTTGTATGAAACTTTGTATATTTTAAACCGATCGGGCTGAGACTTTGCATGCATAATGCTACTATGACGTAGGCATCCCCTAAGAAAGGATTTTCATAAATTCCACCCTTAAGGGAATAAATTAACGCGTGCGAAGCCGCGGCCAAAAGCTAGTATAATATACGATACAATGATTATAAATATATAGCGGTAGAAATAATATTAATAATATATCTCGTAAACCATCATGTAACACATCACTTAAAGGACTACACTCCTTGTCAGTAGGGTTGACTATGTACCGGGGAGAAAAGTCGCGACGCGACGATGCCGCTCGAGGAAAGTTCTTGTTGATACCGACGAGACATATGACGAGTAAAGCTCTTTAGCTCCAGCCGTTCCCGTCTTACGTCGCTATTACGCCAACAAACGACCTCACTGGATAATACGACGACCACGACCACACCGTCCTAAATATATATCCTAATCGGCTGACGTCTGTACTTGACCTAGCGACGCCCTAACGCTCCGTAACGGTACCGTGGTGGGCAATCATTATTCGTAATGATGACCGCCTGAGCCGAGATTCGGACCTCTGGTGGTGCCCTCAGGCTGAAAGCGTATGCAAGAGGCAGGAGTTGGCTGTCAGCCACTACATATGATGTTCATCCTTTGTATTTGCCCCCATATTTATCCGGTAAAGCTACGGCAACAGCAATAAAATAGTTTGAATAGCAATAAATTCGTCATTTTAAACGCGTTGAGTTGGATCTGGGTTTTCATAATATTACATGCATTTTACTAGATATCTTTTCTTAGACATAAGAATATTCCGAGGAAATGCAACATATTTATTTAGCAAATTTACTTATCATTTCATTGTCTTGAATTAGTTCTGAAACTTTGGGCTAGACAACCAACATACACACTACCAAAATAAAATCAAAATGAGGTATAGGTGAAAAGTCATTCTTATAGAATTAAGATATTCGTCGTCATTGGTACCTGATGAAAAGTGGCGACTATTAACATGTATATTACAGAAAAACGAGGTATAAATATTTCTTATCTTATCTTCTGTTGTTACTTTCGATTACGTTGTAATTTTAATACAGAAATGTCACTGCATTGAGATTAAGAAATAATAATAAACACTGTTCTGTTTACATACAAAGCAAATTTTAAACTTCAATCTCAAACGTCATTTATTCAAAATTTATCTACTGATATTATAAATCTGAAAGTTTGTGAGTTTGTTCGTTACTATAATAAAATTAATTATGTATTTGATCACTAAAATCATGAGGAAACCCTACATTTTCATGAAATAAATACGTCAACATATGCAGTTGGTACAAACGAAACATACACTGTCATATATACTCAACGACTTAATAAATAAAGTTGAAATTTCAATAAATTTGAGTACTTTGTAGCAACGAGTAAGCAAGTGGTTTTTACGCCACAAATGAACAGGCGAAAACTATTCAAAAACTTATGTAACTTTTTATGTCTATGTACATATATAGTATAGTCAGATAACATTTTAATATATAAATGATTGTTGTCCATGTTTCCGTTATACCAACTCATAGTAACCCAGTAATACTTTACTAGTAGTATTAATTCGCGTAAGCTACTTTAAAATTTAAATTATTAATTAATAAAACAGAAAATAGAATATTAATAAACAGAATAAAATTAAATTTACCATCATAATGAATTTTTCAACGATTTTTAAAGTTTTATTTATTGTAATGTGTGGTTTAGCACTAATTTCTGAAGCACGTAAATCAAGCAAGAAGATATCAAGGCATCTAAGCCACTCTAAAAGTGTAAGTAATACATATTTATCTTATACATATGTATATATTTAAAAACTGAAGCTGGCCAGAAATTTTGTATGTAATTGAATATAGGATTCATTTTGATATTTTCTCTCTTTCTGACGAACTCATGTTTCCATTTTATCCGGAGTTGGGTCTCCCTGTACATCTGCGCCAAATAACTCTGTTCTGGGTTGTATGTATAGTAAGGTTGACCTGGTCCTGCTCCTTAATATTGTTCCACCAAGTGTGGCTTGCCCATACCACAGCTCTAGATTGCTATCTTAAGCACTTTTTCTTAATCAGATTTTGAGTCAAGAAATTTATAATTTATTATTTTGTATTTTTTTATATTCCTTTGTAAATATCAGCACTAATGATGACACATAGGTATACTACATTGTAAATAAGATGAAAAATATACAGGATATAAAATATTCAATTGTAACAATTCAATATGATATATTTTACATCAATGTTATCTGATTCTGACTGAACAGAGATTAAATGCGTAGCGGTTTCTATGTTGATTGTCGCATGTCTAATCCTTGTTAATGTAAATATAATTAAAACAATGTTAATTTAAAAGAGCAACACACAATTCAGCTCATTTTTCTTGTGATGAGTCTGCATTCCAAATGAGCGGTAAAATAAATAAATAAAACGTGACTATTCAAATGTGCTTATATTAAGTTTATTTGAATAAAGATTATTTCTATTTCTATTTATTTAACACACAGAGTCACCCTGCGCGACGTCATCATCTTCAAGCAACGTCGCATAGATCCAGAACGGCGGTTACTGAAACTAAACATGTGAGTCATTTTATGTAATTAAATTGTTGAAACAATGTATGCATGGTGTTAAGTGATATATCAGCATATATCACTTAATAAATAGTACCATGCACATCACACCAGCATGTCATACCCAAGGCATTGTTCATTCGTTGCCATTCCAGAGATACCCACACCTCTCTTAGAGAATTAAATTGAACTTAGGATTTATTTTGGTTTGTTGTCACTGTTTCCAGTATGTAAAAATCATAGATTGTCGATCAGATATTAAGTCAAGAAAATTATAATGCATTATAATTTTATATAATGCATTATAATTCAAGAAAATTATAATTTTATATAACGCATTATAATTTAAGAAAATTATAATTTTACATAGTGCATTATAATTTTCATGACTTAATATCTGATCGACAGTCTATAATTTTATAGATTATTTCTATTTCTATTTATTTAACACACAGAGTCGCCCTGCGCGACGTCATCATCTTGAAACAACGCCGCATAGATCCAGATCGGCGGTTAATGAAACTAAACATGTGAGTCATAATATGTAATTAAATTGTTGAAACAATGTATGCACATCACACTAGCATATCACACCCAAGACATTGTTCATTCGTTGCCATTCCAGAGATACCCACACCTCCCTTAGATAATTAAATTGAACATAGGATTTATTTTGGTTTGTTGTCACTGTTTCCAGTATGTAAAAATCATAGATTGTCGATCAGATATTAAGTCAAGAAAATTATAATGCATTATAATTTTATATAATGCATTATAATTCAAGAAAATTATAATTTTACATAGTGAATTATAATTTTCATGACTTAATATCTGATCGACAGTCTATAATTTTATAGATTATTTCTATTTCTATTTATTTAACACACAGAGTCGCCCTGCGCGACGTCATCATCTTGAAACAACGTCGCATAGATCCAGATCGGCGGTTAATGAAACTAAACATGTGAGTCATAATACGTAATTAAATTGTTGAAACAAAGTATGCACATCACACTAGCATATCATACCCAAGACATTGTTCATTCGTTGCCATTCCAGAGATACCCACACCTCCCTTAGAGAATTAAATTGAACATAGGATTTATTTTGGTTTGTTGTCACTGTTTCCAGTATGTAAAAATCATAGATTGTCGATCAGATATTAAGTCAAGAAAATTATAATGCATTATAATTTTATATAATGCATTATAATTTTATATATATAACGCATTATAATTCAAGAAAATTATAATTTTACATAGTGCATTATAATTTTCATGACTTAATATCTGATCGACAGTCTATAATTTTATAGATTATTTCTATTTCTATTTATTTAACACACAGAGTCGCCCTGCGCGACGTCATCATCTTGAAACAACGCCGCATAGATCCAGATCGGCGGTTAATGAAACTAAACATGTGAGTCATAATATGTAATTAAATTGTTGAAACAATGTATGCACATCACACTAGCATATCACACCCAAGACATTGTTCATTCGTTGCCATTCCAGAGATACCCACACCTCCCTTAGATAATTAAATTGAACATAGGATTTATTTTGGTTTGTTGTCACTGTTTCCAGTATGTAAAAATCATAGATTGTCGATCAGATATTAAGTCAAGAAAATTATAATGCATTATAATTTTATATAATGCATTATAATTCAAGAAAATTATAATTTTACATAGTGCATTATAATTTTCATGACTTAATATCTGATCGACAGTCTATAATTTTATAGATTATTTCTATTTCTATTTATTTAACACACAGAGTCGCCCTGCGCGACGTCATCATCTTGAAACAACGTCGCATAGATCCAGATCGGCGGTTAATGAAACTAAACATGTGAGTCATAATATGTAATTAAATTGTTGAAACAATGTATGCACATCACACTAGCATATCACACCCAAGACATTGTTCATTCGTTGCCATTCCAGAGATACCCACACCTCCCTTAGATAATTAAATTGAACATAGGATTTATTTTGGTTTGTTGTCACTGTTTCCAGTATGTAAAAATCATAGATTGTCGATCAGATATTAAGTCAAGAAAATTATAATGCATTATAATTTTATATAATGCATTATAATTCAAGAAAATTATAATTTTACATAGTGCATTATAATTTTCATGACTTAATATCTGATCGACAGTCTATAATTTTATAGATTATTTCTATTTCTATTTATTTAACACACAGAGTCGCCCTGCGCGACGTCATCATCTTGAAACAACGCCGCATAGATCCAGATCGGCGGTTAATGAAACTAAACATGTGAGTCATAATATGTAATTAAATTGTTGAAACAATGTATGCACATCACACTAACATATCACACCCAAGACATTGTTCATTCGTTGCCATTCCAGAGATACCCACACCTCCCTTAGATAATTAAATTGAACATAGGATTTATTTTGGTTTGTTGTCACTGTTTCCAGTATGTAAAAATCATAGATTGTCGATCAGATATTAAGTCAAGAAAATTATAATGCATTATAATTTTATATAATGCATTATAATCCAAGAAAATTATAATTTTATATAAAATAATTTAAGAAAATTTTTTTACATAGTGCATTATAATTTTATGACTTAATATCTGATCGACAGTCTATAATTTTATAGATTATTTCTATTTCTATTTATTTAACACACAGAGTCGCCCTGCGCGACGTCATCATCTTGAAACAACGTCGCATAGATCCAGATCGGCGGTTAATGAAACTAAACATGTGAGTCATAATATGTAATTAAATTGTTGAAACAATGTATGCACATCACACTAGCATATCACACCCAAGACATTGTTCATTCGTTGCCATTCCAGAGATACCCACACCTCCCTTAGATAATTAAATTGAACATAGGATTTATTTTGGTTTGTTGTCACTGTTTCCAGTATGTAAAAATCATAGATTGTCGATCAGATATTAAGTCAAGAAAATTATAATGCATTATAATTTTATATAATGCATTATAATTCAAGAAAATTATAATTTTACATAGTGCATTATAATTTTCATGACTTAATATCTGATCGACGGTCTATAATTTTATAGATTATTTCTATTTCTATTTATTTAACACACAGAGTCGCCCTGCGCGACGTCATCATCTTGAAACAACGTCGCATAGATCCAGATCGGCGGTTAATGAAACTAAACATGTGAGTCATAATATGTAATTAAATTGATGAAACAATGTATGCACATCACACTAGCATATCACACCCAAGACATTGTTCATTCGTTGCCATTCCAGAGATACCCACACCTCCCTTAGATAATTAAATTGAACATAGGATTTATTTTGGTTTGTTGTCACTGTTTCCAGTATGTAAAAATCATAGATTGTCGATCAGATATTAAGTCAAGAAAATTATAATGCATTATAATTTTATATAATGCATTATAATTATAAATATAACGCATTATAATTTTACATAGTGCATTATAATTTTAATGACTTAATATCTGATCGACAGTCTATAATTTTATAGATTATTTCTATTTCTATTTATTTAACACACAGAGTCGCCCTGCGCGACGTCATCATCTTGAAACAACGTCGCATAGATCCAGATCGGCGGTTAATGAAACTAAACATGTGAGTCATAATATGTAATTAAATTGTTGAAACAATGTATGCACATCACACTAGCATATCACACCCAAGACATTGTTCATTCGTTGCCATTCCAGAGATACCCACACCTCCCTTAGATAATTAAATTGAACATAGGATTTATTTTGGTTTGTTGTCACTGTTTCCAGTATGTAAAAATCATAGATTGTCGATCAGATATTAAGTCAAGAAAATTATAATGCATTATAATTTTATATAATGCATTATAATTCAAGAAAATTATAATTTTACATAGTGCATTATAATTTTCATGACTTAATATCTGATCGACAGTCTATAATTTTATAGATTATTTCTATTTCTATTTATTTAACACACAGAGTCGCCCTGCGCGACGTCATCATCTTGAAACAACGCCGCATAGATCCAGATCTGCGGTTAATGAAACTAAACATGTGAGTCATAATATGTAATTAAATTGATGAAACAATGTATGCACATCACACTAACATATCACACCCAAGACATTGTTCATTCGTTGCCATTCCAGAGATACCCACACCTCCCTTAGAGAATTAAATTGAACATAGGATTTATTTTGGTTTGTTGTCACTGTTTCCAGTATGTCAAAATCATAGATTGTCGATCAGATATTAAGTCAAGAAAATTATAATGCATTATAATTTTATATAATGCATTATAATTCAAGAAAATTATAATTTTACATAGTGCATTATAATTTTCATGACTTAATATCTGATCGACAGTCTATAATTTTATAGATTATTTCTATTTCTATTTATTTAACTATTTCTATTTTCGCATGTCTAATCCTTGTTAATGTAAATATAATTAAAACAATGTTAATTTAAAAGAGCAACACACAATTCAGCTCATTTTTCTTGTGATGAGTCTGATTCCAAATGAGCGGTAAAATAAATAAATAAAACGTGACTATTCAAATGTGCTTATATTAAGTTTATTTGAATAAAGATTATTTCTATTTCTATTTATTTAACACACAGAGTCGCCCTGCGCGACGTCATCATCTTGAAACAACGCCGCATAGATCCAGATCGGCGGTTAATGAAACTAAACATGTGAGTCATAATATGTAATTAAATTGTTGAAACAATGTATGCACATCACACTAGCATATCACACCCAAGACATTGTTCATTCGTTGCCATTCCAGAGATACCCACACCTCCCTTAGATAATTAAATTGAACATAGGATTTATTTTGGTTTGTTGTCACTGTTTCCAGTATGTAAAAATCATAGATTGTCGATCAGATATTAAGTCAAGAAAATTATATAACGCATTATAATTTAATAAAATTATAATTTTACATAGTGCATTATAATTTTCATGACTTAGTATCTGATCGACAGTCTATAATTTTATAGATTATTTCTATTTCTATTTATTTAACACACAGAGTCGCCCTGCGCGACGTCATCATCTTGAAACAACGTCGCATAGATCCAGATCGGCGGTTAATGAAACTAAACATGTGAGTCATAATATGTAATTAAATTGTTGAAACAATGTATGCACATCACACTAGCATATCATACCCAAGGCATTATTCATTCGTTGCCATTCCAGAGATACCCAGTAATAAATCAAGGCAGAATGCAACAATTCCTTATAATAATAAATATGTAAGTAATTTATCGCTGTAGAATTTGTAAAGAGTTATTTATTATAACTTGCAATTTTTCGCTGTTTAACTAAATCATATACGAGATAAAAAAGATGAGCAAAGAAATGTTCTATATGTTATAATGATAATATATGGCGGCAAACATTTCATATATTATTTTTATATTAATCTTTCAGGGACACGTTCAACATTCCAGTAATAAAACAAGGCAGAATACAACAATTCTTTATAATAATAAATATGTAAGTAATTTGCAATTTTTCGCTGTTTAATTTTCTTAATTTCTGAAAATTAAAACAATATCATACATATGGAAAAACACAATATGGGCAAATAAATATGAGGATTTAATTATGTTATAATTATAGTATATGACTGATAATATTTTATAACAAATTTATTTTAATGTACAGAATCAGTATGCGCAAAATCCCAATCTTCAATTAATGAAGAATAAAACAAAAGCCATTGGAGAATGGTTGAAAAATAATTATGTAAGTACCTCACCGAAGTAGACTTTAGGGTAGGGAGTCATGACAATAACGAATATCATATAAGTATCTGAACTCCTTGATTTTAGCACACCGCTTTGATTCCGATAGTTACGGGTTCGACTCCCGGGATTTAATTCATATGTACGTATGATTGTTTGTATTTAAAAAATAACAAATAATAACATGCCAAACTGTTGTTTTTTGTGCAGGCTAGGATGCTCTTGATTTAAGTTAATTACAGTTTATTCCACTTCTTTCTTAGTGCGATTAATTAATCAAATTATGACTAATATACAAAATATCCTTATATATGATTCCGTTTTATTTTCTTAATTTCTGAAAATTAAACCAATGTCATACATGAGGAAAAACACAATATGGATGTAATTATGTTATAATGATAGTATATTTTATAACAAATTTATTTTAATGTACAGAATCAGTATGCGCAAAATCACCATCTTCAATTAATGAAGAATAAAACAAAAGCCATTGGAGAAATGTTGAAAAATAATTCTGTAAGTACTTCATCGAAGTAGACTTTAGGGTAGCGAGCCATGACAATAACGATTATATCATGAGTACCTGAACTCCTTGATTTTAGCACACCGCTTTGCTTCCGATAGTTGCGGGTTCGACTCCCGGGATATAAATTACTTACCTATATATTATTATATTATTATTATTTGTTTACTTGACGTAAGTTACCTGTCACCAGGTAACCATCACCTTATTTACCAGTGCGGTTTGTTTAAAGAAATGTATTACTCGAAATCGCTAAATTTTGATCCGGCAATTTTGATGTCGAAGATGCACCAACTGGCGAATCCGGTTCGCATCAACCAGTGCCTTTATCAGCTTCAACCGGCCTTCTCGAGAGTGGTGCATCTTCGACTTCAAAATTGCCGGACCGAAATTTAGCGAGCCAGTTCTGGCACTGGCGTACTGTCAACACACCTTCTCCACACACATCGGTCAATTTCTTTCTGGCTAGAACAGCATTATAGCCCTTTCTGTAGGAAAACAGTAAGATATGTCGAAAATGCTGCTTATTCCTCTCTCCATATTTAAATGGGTATCAACCAAAAACTACTGTATAGAATTAATTGTAATTTTTCACACACAAGCCTTGCTATATGAGCTCTCAAAGCATATAAAAATTATACGACTTAAATGTGAAGTTGAGTGCAAAAAATACAATTAAATCCTAAGTTAGGAAAAAACGAAATTACATTTCGAACAACCTAATATTATTTATTATATTTATTATAGGGTGTGTGGGGCCAAAATGCGTGGAATGGTATCAAAAGTAGCAGCAAAGGTATACAGGAGACTGCCGAAACTGCCAAAGGAGTAAACAGTATCGTAGATATTGGGTAAATACGCAATTTGTTTATTAATATTTCAAATATAGACAGTTTTGAAATAGAAATAATACTAATCTTTATTTAAAGAAAACTCAATGCAAGCACTTTTGAATAATCATATTTTTTTTATTCTACCACTCATTCGGAACGCAGACACTGTACAAGAAGGGAATGAGCAAGAAACTCGTGGAATAAGTATGTACAGGAAAAGCGTATATTTTTCGGTATATCTGAATGTAACATTATATTATATTATAGCAGTAATCATTGATGATGTTATATATAGAATAATATTTAAAATACAAATATATTTCAGATAATGTAACTTGCTTCAATAAAACAAAAAGATTAATTCCTATACCTATATTGAAAACAATCATTACATGGTATAAAACAAAGTCGCTCACGCTGTCTGTCCGTTCCTATATATCTTAATTCTCTTAATCTTTAAAACTACGCAACGGATTTTGAAGCGGTTTTTTTAGTAGATAGAGTCATTCAAAAGGAAGGTTTATATATATAATACATACTGGCGACGCCAAGGCGACTTTGTTTTCTATGATGTAGTGAAGACAATATACTTAATTCTCGTTTATTAACTTTAAATATGTCTGTTTTTACTCATGTATTTGTATCGATATTTTACAGAGCAGAATGGGGAATGTGGAAAAATCCTAAGCCGCATTTAGTTAATGATGATGACGGTGATGATGATGATGATGATTATCAACGATATAAAAAACAAAAGAAAAAAACGGCGCCCACGACAACAGAGACTCCATTGACTACAGAAAGGTTTAGTTAAACTTTCATATTACTCTTATTCAATATTTACCCCACTATCACCAACCCTTATTTTTTTAAAACGATTTTAATTTATATGGCAAAACAACGTTTGCGGGGTCAGCTAGATATATTTTATTCTAAATTGACAGGGATACGGCTGTTTTCGGTATTCAGATGCTGTATTGTGTAGCGTAACACTAAGTGATAATGCGGATAATATCTTTTTTTTTTCAATAACAAATTGCATACTTCATATTGATCAAGTTTCATAATATATGAAAACATATACTTAACATAAACTTTTCTTTTTAACTCTTTCTGGATGATATTGACCTATACTCATTTATATCTGCTTTGGTGTATTAAGAACAGGGTGTAAAAGGCATACTTCATTACCATTCCAAATATGAACTGAATTATATTGTGGTATAAAGACTAGTTCCGAAACGAAGTAATTTGTTAGAGAACTAAGGTCACCAACGTAGCTCTTCGTATTTGCAAGTTGAAGTGGAAATGGGCTAGTCTAGGTAGAGCGACTACATACGTATAAGTGCATGCAATTAAGTTAGTAGGTACTCGGTTTCAAAGATTTATCTACATATATCTTTCTTTTACGGTCTCGATTGTCTAGCGGTTTAGCACACCGCTTTACTTCCGAGGGTCGAGGCCCGATTTCTCGTAGGGAGGCCCGATTCCTCGTTTATAACAATGCCTTTAAGGCACTGTTAGCGTTCCCATATGTTCAGGTCACACATGTTTACGCAAGTGTGCACCAACGATTTCTATGCCATACAGTACAAACGAATAACATCCCTATTAGGCAGAGTGCGAGCAAGTTCTGACAGTGTCCTGAAAAAAATTGTCTGGAAATTAGACTGTCCCATTCTGAGAGGCAGGATGGGATAGCGTATCCTATCCCTTAATGTATTAAAGGGTTATCCTACATTTTTTACTAACATAGGTTAAGTAATTGTCACTAACAAAACGGACTATATATGTTATCTGACAATAAATTATTCTTAATAATGTTTTAATTTTCACTTATGTGTATAATTTCAGGCAGACGCAATTTCCTCCACATTATTACGATGAAGCATATACTCTAGATGAGGATGTTAATAATGATTACAATGACTACAATGGTACAAGGTAAGCATAATATAATTTAATAAATTTATTTATCGTTTAGTCTATATTGAGTACGGGGGTCACTAACAAAAACTGTACAAGGATGAAGTAGCCTTTTTGCCCTCGTACTTACCATAAGTTTAAGTAATATTGTTCTATAGGTAAGACCTAATTTAGAAGTGACAAAAGAATATGGGAAGTAAATCGTCAGAGGACTTAGGTCATCAACGTAGCTCTTCGTATTTGCAAGTTGAAGTGGAAATGGGCTGGTTATATCTATCGTAGAACCGAATGCTTGCTGTAGTTGACGTGTTCTAGAGTGAAGACCGTTAGTTGGCAAACGTAGGGTAGGACACCCCGCAGCTAGGTAAAGCGACTATATACCTACGTTGGATTGCGGGTAGTAACTGGAAGAAAAGGGCTGAAGATCGTGCCCAGTGGCTTGCCTTGGGAGATGCCTATGTTCAGCAGCAGACTGCAGTGGGCAGATGATGACGAAAGTCTAGTTTTATTTACCGTTACCCACAAATAACTTCTAAGCAATTTGTTTGACATTAGTTCTATATTACAGCACAGATGACGAAAAATCAGAACCTATAACCCAGGATTATACATAGTTACTGAATGCTCAAAAATATGGATAAAACACAGTTGCTGCTCTTGATTTCAACATTAAATGATAACAGATCAACAGACTATACTGATCAAATAAATGTAACAACAGCAACTGTTACATTGAATGATAATTATAATGTAATAATGACACATTGTAATAAAATATAATTAAATTAATTATCCGCTTTCAAATAAGACATATTCAACAAAATTGCTTTCAGTGTATTCATTTCAATTATTTAATGCACATTTTATTCTAATAACTGTAATGTTTTCTTGATATATTATTTCTTTTTATAAAATAAATGAATTATAACTAAGCTGTAGTTTCAATTACTTGATCATTATTTTAACTTATTCTATACTAGCTGTACCCGCGGTTTCGGCCGCATGACATTTTTAGCTTATGTGTAATTCTGATGTATGAGCTATATTACTGCAAAGTTTCATCTAAATCCGTTTAGAACTTTTTATATAAAAGAGTAACAAATATCTATCCATACAAACATCCGCATTCTCATTTATTGTGTACCTAACACAGCGCCATCTAGTCTCCAGGCAAGTAGAGCTTGTGTTATGGGTACAAATACATTGATTTTTTTTGTAAATATTAAATACTTAATAGGGATAGAAAACACCCAAACTGGATACAAATAAATACAAATAATAATAATCTCAGGTCAATTCATACAATGCCATCTAGACCCAAGTTCAGCTACCTAACGTTTGTGTTATGGGTACTAGAGTTTTTTTTCGTAAATACACACATATTATACATAGAAAACATCCAGACCGATACAAACAATCATACTTATGAATACAAATGTTTGTGCCATGCAAGAATCGAATCTCGAACAACGGACGTAAAGCAGTGTGGTAAACCGCTAGATCACCGTGGTCGTCAAATATTTGTGCAGTCTGAGAAATCGAACTCGCGAGCATCGATAGTAAAGCTGTGTGCTAAATTCCTACACCACCGAGGCTGTCAATCATGTAGGATAAAGAAAGAATAGTAGAAAGTGGGGAGGGAGCCGTCAGTCGGGTAACAGTTTGGTTGTAGACATGCGTTGTGAGCTGGCTATGAGATCAGAAAGAGCTATAGCAATAACTTTTACAGTAGGGATTGATTTGCGGTTTCAGAGGAGCTTCCTTCCGTGTACACTTAGATTGTGGAATGAACTACCGAAACTACTGAAGTTTTCTCACGAGACTACAACATGAGGTTTTTCAAGAAGATTTCTTAGAGAAGAAAGGCGGTGTACGAAACCATTAAAACACCGTCAAATTTTCTTTCGGTCAACCCCCCCACCCCCTCTCCGATCGATACTCCTACAAATAGCTAAGGCCGTCGTAATTTTGATCCAAACTACGACGGCCTGAGCCTAGGTTCAAACCCCTTGCGGTCCCCTTAGGCTAAAGTCATATCCGTCAGGCGGGACCTGGCCTTCAGCTCCTCCATAAGTTCTTTCGCAGGTTTGGAGTGCCATCTGCGCTCGCCGCCTATCGTCCGGTGAAGCTGTTAAGGCTAGCTGCTAACATTAGCAATAGAATAATTTAAAAAAATCCGTCGAATATTACAGTTATCAGATATCAATTCATTATATACGCTAATAATATTACCTGCTAAATAAATTCTACTCATATGTTTTAAATATAATAATTCAAAGTAAAATAAAAGAAACTAAGTTTATGTATATCAGAACTCAAAATCAATTCGAAAACTTATATTTACGTCAATTAAACTCGTTAATATGTTTTGTTAACGTAAATTATGTTTATTTCAATGATAATTCTATACGAGGAAATCATATTGAAATATAAAATGTTAAATAAAGTACATAATGGAAGCAACTTTTGAGCAAGAACGATTAAAAATTTTGTTTATTATTGCGTTACATAGACATTTTTTCATTTACTTTTATGAATGTACGATTTTTGTAGAAAGTATCTTTAGTAAGTAGTGGGTATTTATATCTAACCTATTTCAGCCGCCAAACTGCTTATTTTGTAAGAAGTGTTTCAGTTAAAAGTGAAATTATAGGATATAAAAAAGAGATGGATGAACTGTGTGAATGATAATATTCCAAGAAAGGGAGTGAATAACGAGATGCGAACAGGTATGTATGCGAGAGAATAGCATACTACGCTGATCCAAAATGAATGGGATAAGGAAGAAGTAGCTGATGATAACGGTGGAGGCGTGGATCTTAGTCCTATAGAATAGCAACGCAGAGTGCTACGGGCGACATGATGATGTGATTTTGGTACTATACATGAGCGATGGTTACATTAAATTAAACGTCACTTCGGGGGGAAGAGGATTATTAGTACTGTGGACTGATAATCTCATTACGAGCAATGTAGTATGTCAGGGTGACGTGGTTCCCCATGGAAACCATCTTCATAATTTCCTGATGAAATTGTATCGATGGGCCAACTGGCTTGACCTCATGCTCATCTTATTATCCTCCATTGGTGCCCCGCCAGTGTAAACCGTTAGTGCAGTGGGGTGCACCCTTCAATTATCATTAAACACTCACTCTTCACTCTGTTAGAATTAAAAACCCGCCGAAAACAGCAGTGTTGCACTGTACCTGGTTATTTAAGTACTTAATCGTTTTGTAAATTATCATCAGGTTAAAATAAAAAAAAAGTGCAGATTTAGAAAAAGGCTTCCTGCCGAAGGAAAATAAGTCGACGATCTATCGTCGACTTATTTTCCATTCTAATTACATAAAAACAAATTCTGATCTAGCTGATGCATCCTATTTTTAACCTATATATCTCTATGGATCCTATTTCATTATTCATATATTTGGCCGTCAGTATATGTACGTATACCTTTTGAATCTTGCGGGTAACTAATTTTAAGAAATCAGCAGTTAGAATTAAATAATATATGAATATTAATATTATTATGAAACACATATTGCGAGTATGTTCATATTTACGTACCTTACTTATGTTTTCAAGTACACGTTCAATATATATTTAAAGGTGTAGTTAATAAGGCACAAAATACAATGAATTTATTTTATAACATTTACGCACGTAAGGGATTTTTAAACCACAAATACACAAAATAATATAATATAAACCACAAGTATTAGAAATCTATTCAAAAATTACGTGGCCCGTTATTCTTATTACATATACTACCTATATGGTCAGAT